CTTTTCCCTCTTGGAGTCTGCTCGCCCGCACCCACGACGGCCTCCGTCAGCTCCGTTTTCTGGAGCGGGTTGCGGTCCACCGATGCTCACGACCTCCGTCTCCGCCGCAGAACTGTTGCACGTTTGGTTACGGAAAGAAGCTCCGAGATTACCTGGTTCCTCTTCCCGCCCCGCACGGATCCCCCATCGTTCAACGGGCCTTTCCCCTGATGTCCCACCAGAATCTGCTTCCACCTAGCTGGATGCTTGGTTTCTCACCTGTCTGCGGCCCGTCTTCTAGCTGGCAGCCCCTCGGTCCGTCGTTCCCAAGTTGGCATAGGCAGTTGCAGCCACAGGCTTGCTTCCAGGCCCCTTCTTCTCTCGATGCTCTTTTCTCACGCCCTTCCTCAGATGCAGTGCCCAGAACTGAGGTTGTACAGGTAGTCCTGGGGTTACGTCCATTTGTTCAGTGACTGTTCAAAGTTATGACGGTGCTGAATGAATGGTATTTATGATGAGTCCTTGAAGTTCCGGCCATTGCAGGGTCCCTGCGGTCACTTGATCACAATTTCTGATGTTCCCTGCCGGCTTCTCCCAAGCGAACTTGTACTCGCTTGTATAGTGAGATGGGCAGCATGTATAAATTTGAAAAATAAAATAGAAAAAAATAAGTGAAAGCGAACGAGGAAGCTGGGGGAAGTCAGAAGTCACAGTCACATAAGGTCTTCGCTTAATGACGGCAACTGGGACTGCCAGAATTACCATTGCTAAGTGATGTGGTCATGTGATGTCATGCTTTACAACTGTGTTGCTTATCAATGGAAATTCCTGTCCCAATTGACATAACCTGAGGACTATCTGTACTCTAGGGGTGCTGTAACCAGCATGGAACAAAGAATAGGGATTTCTCTGAGCATGGGTCTCTTAGACAGTGTAGCGTGGCATTGGTTTTTCTGCAGGCTCATGTTCAGCTTGTGAACCACCAAGGTACCCAAATCCTTTATGGTCCCCCTCTTCACACAAGCCTTTGAATGTAGGACTTTGCCTTAGTTCTTGTTGAAATTCATCTTGCTGGCTTCTGCCGATTGTTCCAGCTTGTCAAGGACCTCTTGAGTCTTACACTGTGCTTCAAAATAATTCCTATTTCCCCCCACCAACTTTGTGTCATCTGCAAATTTGATAAATAATATTTTTATACTTCATCCAGATAATTATGAATGTGTTGAAGAGCACATGTCTTAAATGGAGCAGTGTAGTATATTTCACTTACTTCCAGCTGGATGTTGTCCATACATTGGGTATGACTTTCAGCCAGCTCTGTATCCATCTAATGGTAGCATAACCCAACCCACATTTTGCTACAGTTAATTTAATTTATTACATTTGTTATGGCCTCCAGAACCCTAACTCTCCAGAAATCTCTGGGTGGCTTGCGAAGTCCAAAACAAACAGTAAAAAAGAAACAAAAAAACAAAAACTGTTAAAATCCACATAAACAGACAGCCTGGACTAAAGTAGGTAGAACGATAAACAATACAAAAAAATCCTGCAGAAGCCCCACCAATACATAGTCACAATTAAGCCCAGGTCTGAGAACAGAGCCAAGTCTTAAGGGCTTTCTGGGATCCCAGGAGAGTGGGCACCATCTGTATCTCAGGGGATGCTGTTCCTGAGAGGGGGCCAGAACATATTCTCTATGAGAATATGGTGGGAGACTTTGTTGAATGCTTTGCTGAAGTCAAGATACGCTGTATCCGTCTTATTCTCATGGTCAGGTAACTCTTCCAAAAGAGCAGGTTGGTTTGGCATAGTTTACTTTTGATAAATGTTACCCTAATCCTAACCCCCCCACACCAATTTATTCTTTCCTAAATGTTTAATAATCTGTAGAGTTTTATATACCCTCCACATCATGGCCTGTTTTTACTTGACTTGCTTTTTCACCTTTTTGAAAGTA